CCCCCCCCCCCCCCCCCCCCCCCCCAGTCAAGAAACATCCCAGCATGTAGAACAAAGAGAAGCAGTTATAGTTCAACAAGATAACCTGCTAAAATGAGAACATCAGAAAATAACAGATGATGAATTTGTCCCATTTATAATGCAACAACCGGAGAATTTAGAGAAGTCTGCACTGATTTCTCAAACCCATGACCATAATCTCTGCCTGCTTTTACTGGTTTATAAAATATCAGTCACATCTTTCACAGCGTTTCAAATAAAGGGTAGGAAAATTGGTTCTGCCCAAAGCAGACAGACATCATCAGTTCTTGGTGTCTGATTTTTACTCTGGGCGTCCAATGTGTGCTTGAGAAAAATGAACATTGTTCTTTAATAATGTCACTGAAGGCCTGTGAATGATGTTAAAATGAAGCTGGCACATGTGTCGTCTCTGCTCTGCCAGCTCTACCCTCACTAGCTGTCCAGGATGGCAGCCTCCTCCTCCCCAGTTCAACATCCACTCTCATCTCTCATCTCGCTCTCTTTCTGTCTCTTCTGGTCACTTTCTAGATAAACGGTCTGAGTTTGTCTTTTGGTTTGCTTCCATTTTTCTGACTGTTTCCTGTGATAATTTCTGTTCTGTTTCTCTCTTTAACTCGTCTCTGACTTTCACAGTTTTTTTAAACCTAATGCCATGGTTCTTGTTTTCCCATTGCCTTCCCAGTTCATAATTTTGGTTGAGGTTTCATTCACTGTAATGGCCGTCTTTAAACAGCAGCCCTATTACTGACTCCGTTCTTCCATTCTCTCCATTCCATTCACGTTTATCAGTAATCGCTGCACTATAAATATCCATGATATCCTCTGTTTCGGGGTCAGGGTGGTTGGAAGAGGCATGAGGCCCAACAGAGGAATGAAGAATGGTAGTGATTCTTCGCACATGACATTTTCTTGTATTATTTTAAAACTCTCCGTGGTGAAAAACACATCAGTCTGGACACTGTTGGACTTCCTTTCCTCAGCCTTTGAATCACAGCACATTAATCTGTGATGGATCAAACTGCGCTAAGGGTGCTGACATTTTCTGGGCTGTGGATTTGACTGGCGAGCTGAAAGAACAACCAAACAGTGGCAATACTGTATTGGGGTAAACAGGGGAAGCAAGAGAGAGACCAACAGAAAATCATATTTCAGCCTCATGGACACATGGCCACTCATAAACAATAAAGCTCATCTTAGAAAGATTTTATTTCATATTTTTAGGATTTCTGTGTACCTGCACAGCAGATGACAAACAATGACAGTCCGATCATGGCCAAGATAAAGCAGCTGCCACTAATGACACTTACGGCCTCAGCATCTGTGTGTGAAATGTGTTAAATCTTCACACAAATCATCACAACACACTCTCTACCAGCCAAATAACAGAACAGTCTGTACCAGAGTCACAAATTAATTATGGGCATGGGACAAAAATGCAAAAGTGACACAAATGCCCCAGATGTTTTAAATGGGGCGTAAAATTGCTCCTGTAGTAAAATAATCTTTTGTTTTATTGTGTTATGTAACAAACATTATTTTTAATACTATGCTATTTTAGGCTGTAGCGATGGATTATAGGTTTAGTGCTTTCACAGACACTGATTATTTTCGTATTCACTGTCTTAAACATAACATTGTTGCATGTGCAGCTATTTTTAGGCATTTTTTTCATTAAAATATACAGAATATAAAGAAAATCACATCACTACTCTGACAGTAGACAGTACAGAGCCACATTTCCTCTATCACAGGAACATGACAGTTATTTATTGTGTAATGATATGTATTGTTATTGATTGTTTTACAGATATTTTTATATTTCATAGTAAATTGATTTCATAACAGGTGTAATTGTTCACATTGATAATTTATTCATTTTAGTATTTAACATAAATGGATGACATGCTGTGTGATTTTGAATAGTTAGCAGTAATTACAGGGGGCAAATATTAAAACTCTTAAAGAGATATGAAAATTCTGTTGTTATTATTCATTCACCCCTA